ACGCTCGCCCTGCGCGGGGCTGAGTTCCGAACCGGCGCGGCGAGGCGCAGCGTGGACCCTGAGTCCCTGCTGCTGACTGAGCGTCCCTGGCTGTGGGCGCCGCCCTTAGGTCTCTGGTCCTTCCTGTGGTTCGTGGGCTTCTGCTTCCTCACCAATCAGTGGCAGCGCACCGCGCCAGGGCCCGGCACCCTACAGGCTGGGGACGCTGCTCGGGCTGCCATCGCTTTCAGCTTCTTCTCCATCCTCAGCTGGGTAAGTGTGGACCCAGGGGGCGGAGGACAGGAGCGCTTCAGCCGGCACAGCTGACCCGCGTCGCCCCCTCCCCCAGGTGGCGCTCACTGTGAAGGCCCTGCAGCGGTTCCGACTGGGCACCGACATGTCACTCTTCGCCACAGAGCAGCTGGGCACCGGGGCAGGCCAGGCCTACCCCGGGTACCCGGTGGGCAGCGGCGTGGAAGGTACCGAGACCTACCAGAGCCCGCCCTTCACCGAGACCCTGGACACCAGCCCCAAAGGGTACCAGGTACCTGCCTATTAACGGCTGGCAGGTGCAGGCAAGGGCTCAAAAGCCACCCCACCAATTCAGGCCCCAAGGCCTCCTGGGACCTCCCTCAGGTCCTGCCCACCCAGAGCCAGGGACACAAGGGGTGGCCATTGTGGGCTTCCATGGGCCAAGTGGAGGAAGCCCCTCTGGGGTGCCTGGGCTGTCCCCACCAAGCCCCCCTAGCAAGAGGGCCCAGACCTGAGATCCTGGAAGAGGGCAGCACAGCCTGGGATGGGCTGGGGAAGAAGAGGCAGTTTCTTCTTGGACTAGGCAACCTGGGGCTTACCTGTCCACTCCACGGTCAGAGGTCCAGCTGTCCTACACAGCCTGGTGCTGGACTTCCGAGGACCAGGGGGAAGGACACTAACCTCACCTTGAGGCCAGAGATTGTGGCCACCGTTCCCATCCCCAGTACCTGTGGATAGTGACTATCTTTGCTGCTCTGTTGTTTTGCCCTCTTTGGAGCCTCCCTTCATTTTGACTCATAGACTCTAGAGCAGCCTGGCCTGTTAGTGTTGTGATTGTGGTCAAGTTTTCAGGTTTCATCTCATAGTACCCCATAAGCTGCCCCTCTCTGTGGGCCGTTCTGGCCAGGAAGGCACAAGACAGCTGTGGGTCCTGGGCAACAACCCCTCAGTAAGACCCTGCCTAAGGGAAGAGTGGAACACCTGGGTGTCAGGCAAGATAAGCTTTTCTCATCAGGAAAGAGTCCTAGAGGTTCCACCTGCCAACAGTGCCCCTGAGACAGCCATTCCTGCAAACTGTCTTACCTTGGCTTCCTGGACCAGTTTCTCCCTCCCTAACCTGCACCCTGTTTTAAGGCCCAGCCCTGGGGGGGTTCCCATGTATAGCTGACTATTCATGCATTGCACAAAGCTGGCTTTTCACATAAAGTTAAACCAGAAACTTTGCCATATTTCATTCTTACAGACAGATGCCTCCCTCTGGAGTTGCGGTTGAGTGACATCTCTATACATTGTAGCATAGAACAATTATTTAAGTGATATTTAAGTGAATATGTTTACAGTTTTTGTATATATGGATCTCTCTTCTGAAAGAACAATCCATGATTGTGTATTTTCAGTGTCCCATAATCTGACTACAACTTCTTTACAATAAAGATTGTAAATGCATTGACTGTGATCTGGATGCTCCTAGAGTCATTACTACCCCTGCCCTTCCTGGTACCATGGGCTGGGGCCTCAGGACCCAGAATACAGTAGTGAATAGGGAGATGGGAGGTTGGTCTGACCTCTAGGTTCTGGGAACCCCAGTCCAGGTCCCCGAATTGATCACACTGTATGGGTAAAAACTGCCACTCTGAGCAGGCTGTCTGAAATGCTGGGGATGAGACAAAGATCACCCTGGGGGATAAGGGACTAGAATACTTCTGGGCCCTAGCTCAGGATTTATTGTTATGCTGTGAAAGTGTGATATGTGTTCTTCCCTACCCCTTACTCTTCCTAAAAATCCAGATATATCATTAAAGCCAGGATGCCGTGACTGCAGTGTCTCCGAGAATAAACTGGGTGAGAAAATACAGCTGTTGGGGATCATCACAGAGGGACAGAAAACAGAAA